ATGCCTTCTTGCCCACACAAGGCCCATAGGCATGCAGGATGCAGGGCCTTAGTCTGGCCCTTGGCTGTTCTGGGGGAGCCAAAACACCTGCTGCAATGTGGAACTATGTCTCTAAAAGTATGACCTTCTTGTGGGCTGGGAACCTGGCGCCCAATAAACTCTGACAGATTTGCAGGAAGGACATAAATAAATGTTGGTGAGTTCTGGGGGAAGGGCCATTCCCTGGGGAGCTGACACCTAAGGACAGTAGACATCTATGATGTAAAGTGTCACATCTTCTAGGCTCACCATACCCCAGAGACCCAGGGAGATGGGGTTGTACTACTTCACCAAAACCTCAGGAGGCTGGTGACACATGGGCAGGCCTCTTGTCTTCTGGATGTACAGTTGTTTTTCCAGGGTATGGAAGAATGTTGCCACTCAACGGGCACCCAGGATGGGGACCATCCAGTGGTGAGTGAATGAATAAACACGCTGCCTTCTTGTCTGCTCGTCCCTCTCTAGGTTTCTTCCTCTCCGGTAGGGGCTGCTATGACAAAGGCTCATATGCCTGGGACACAAGGGTCACTCTCTCAGGAGCTGCCCCCCCACCCAGCCACATAGTTGGCCTCTGAAATACATTTATTCAAACGACGCCTGGCTCCCAAAGTGGTTCGAGGCCCAGCAAGGGTGGGTATCCATCCAGCCTGCTGCCCATCTGCGGTACTTACTGGATTGCTTCTCATCGCTCCTCCTACTGCGCGAGCCGCTTTGGGGTTGCCTGCCAGGGCTGCTAATTGCTGGTAAGAAACCATTTCTCCAAATTTCACAACCTTCAGCAGCTTCCATAACACCTGTCTGGTGAATGAATCTGAAAGAAAGAAAACAGAATGACGTGATTTGGACAAACGGCTCCGGCAGCTCAGATATAAATAGCTGCCAGTCCCCCAGCAGAAAATGCAATGGCACAAACAGAGGTGTTATACTCAATTAAAACACAGCCTTCCACACAGCACCCTGTCACGGAGGTGCAGGCAAGGAGAACCGAGAGTGAATCAGGCACCAAGCAGGTGGGCCTCGGAAGGCTTCCCACATCTTTAATTTCCGTCCGCCCTCCTCACGTTCCGGGTGGAGCTGCGTGTGATGCTCTTTCTGTGAACAGGCAGGCAAGCATTTGCACACAGTTCAATTAGCAAGCGCAGGAGCCCCTGCTGGCCCACCTACGTGGAAGTCCTTTGGACTGCTGGTTCATTTCCAACTTCAGGTGAGATGCAGGAAGAGGACATCTCCAGGGAGGGGAGGGGGCCCTTCTCTAGCTGTCCACACCCAGCAGCCAGCAGGACTAACCCCAGTGCTTTTCTGAATGCCAGATGCCTCCACCAGTATGCCCAGGTTGGGGGGGTGGTGACCCTGGCTGCAGGCAGCTGCAGGCATCTTGATTGAACAGTGCTGCGAAAATAAAGCATCTTTTCCCATGTTCTCTGACTAGCCGCATCAAGCAGCATGCACTTTGTGTGCTGCAGCAGAATGACTAGGGTGAGGCATGGCCATCCTCTCCCTTGATGCCTCTGGGTTTTGGAATCACTCCCTGCAATGGGTCTTGAGTAGGGCAGCCGCCCAGGCACAAGGAGGTGTCTGGTGTGAATTGATTCCTATTGTCTTTCAGAGGGGACACACGGGCTAGGGAGCGTGGAGGCCAAGCCACATCCTCTGTCTCTGGGGCTCCAACACTTGGGAGCAGGAGTTCCTGAGGGGAACAAGAGAGAGGAGGGCTCCATGGGCAGGAACGACATCAGGGAGTGTGTCCCCCACAGTGCTGGCCACATTTGGTGCCAAGCTGGCAGAGTGTGTTTTGGTCCTTAAAGGAAACACACCCTTACATACACATTAAATAATAAAAATCACTTCTTAACAGAAAGGAATGATAATCACTTCACTGGAGAAAAAAAAAACCTGTTTAGTCTTTATTATAACATTAAGCAAATTAAACATCAGCATAATCCAGGTGATACTAGAAAAGGGTCATCAAAGAAATTAACTTTGTTGTTCATTAATTTACATGGATTAGTAGAGGGCACAGACACAGCAAATGTGCTCTAGTTTTTTTATGATATAATTTCAAACTGTACAGCATTTGTGGCAGGAGGGTGACTTTGGGGTTAATCAGACTGATTTGTCCTTTTAATTGCTTTCTATTCAAAGAAAATTCATTAGATAATGTTCTCTTCAAAATTCATGAATCAATTTAACTGAAGAAACCGCATTAACGGCTCTGGGTTCATTAACACATGCAGTTTGAGTGGCTGGGTGCTGGGAGGGTTTCCTTAGGCAAACAAGCTCTGTTTACCGTCTTGTCCTCTGAAAGGGGCTCCAAATCACCTTGCTAATCATACTTATTGTTACTGTTGTCTGAGAAAAGGAAAGGAAGAAGGCCGAGGAGGAGGAGGAGAAGGCAGGCAGGCCCAGGCCCTCAGAGAACGGCTTCAAGGAGCCGCCCTTGGAGGGAGCAAAGGGAGCATCCCGAGCAGGAGCTGCCCTGCCTTCCTCCGAGGGTGCGGACCCGGTGGGCTGTGCCTGTGCTGTGGCCCAGGGTCAGGATTGTGGCTCATGTTTTCCAGAATAAACCTGCTGGGATTAAACCAAGGGAGAGCCGGACCGGAGCGGGTATGACTGTGACAAACAGTGGCACCTACGCAGTGGTAGCTCCCAGCCACTGGGGCTCTGACCAAGGACTGTCAGGTCACCGAGCATCTTTCTCCCTAAGTAGTCAAGTGTCTGGAATGGGAAGTTCATGTGTTCAGATACCAGGATAGTTGGTCAAACACGTTCAGTGTTTTAAATACTTGTTTTTATTTTGTATGTATGTTTACCTGCATGTATGTACATGCACCACATACGTGGCTGGCACCTATGGAAGCCAGAAAAGGGCACTGGATCCCCTGAAACTGAAGTTGCCAACTGTTGTGAGTGCTGGGAGTTGACCCTGGGTCCCCCTGAAGAGCACCAAGTGCTCTTAACCACTGAGCCACCTTGATAGCACCAGGGTCAGTTTGTTATCAGTTTATCACAGGAAACTTTGTTTTTATCATCTATCCCAGACTGGCCTTGAACTTGGTATGCAGCCTTGAATTTCCAATCCTTATGTTTCTATCTTCTAAGTACAGAATTACAGGCCTGCCCATCACCATATTCCATTTTACATACTGGGGACTGAACCCAGGGTTTTGTGCATCCTAGCCAGGCATTCTACCAATGCAGCTGCATCCTCAAGCCTGGTAACCAGTTTTTAACTAGTCTACAACTCACACAGGGCAACACATAGCCCAGGGGTTCTCAACCTTCCTAGTGCTGCGACCCTTTAATACAGTTCCTTGTGTTGTGGTGACTCCCCAACCACAAAATTATTTTCATTGCTACTTCATAACTGAAATTTTGCTACTGTTATGAATTATGGTGCAAATATCTGATATGTAACCCCTGTGAAAGGGTCATTTGACTCCAAATGGGTCGTGACCCACAGGTTGAGAACCACTACACTAGGCAGCGTGGCTCAAAGAAAGCAGCATTTTATAGTCAAGCACATCATTTTTTAAATGTACCTGAAAACCCTACTTCACTCTGTAAGGAGCAAATGCATTAATTAGTGGAAGCCGCTCTCAGAGACAGGCCTTTAGCCAGACCTGGGCCCACTCAAGATTTGCTCTGCACTTACGCGCAGGGAGGGGGCTGGCACTTTTGCATTAAGGACCATCTTTCAAATGTAGGAGAATCTGCTCACGTGAGTTCAGTGTAAAAGTGGAAACCACAATTCCTGACAGTGGATGTGCCACATAAATCCTGGTGGCTGGCCATGTCATGTCCAGAGGGACTCACTGAAATGCATCCTTCTCCCATGTGGCTCTCCACAGGGAGTAAGCCAGCAACCCCAGTGCTGTGGGGAGTGGGCTCTGCATGCCACAGTGCGGTGTCCTTCTAGCCTGCCCCTCTCTCATGTCTCTTCTGAATGTCTCCTCTCTCCAGCATGCTCCTCTGTCTCAGGACTTTGTCCTGCTGATGCAGCCGGGGTTAAGGCTCTGCCGGAGGCTGCCCTGGATTTCAGATTCCCTCTCTGAAGGACATGGCTCTGGTAGCCTGTCCATACAGTGAAGCCACCTAGGTGAAAAAAATGAGTTATTTATCGAATATCACCTGGACTGGGGATCATCAGAAGTGGGAAGGATGCTGCTTCTCCAAGCGGTGCTGTGCTGTAGACACAGGGAGTTTAGACATATGCTAAGTGAGTGCGAAGCCTGGCCTTAAAAGGAAAGGTCACCTCCTCTCCTGACTCAGCCGGTGAAGCCCCACTACTTCTGATAAGGGAGACTCCACACTGGGGATGTGGTGGTGGAGGCAGCGGTTTGCCTCTGCCCACCTCACTTCTTGAGCCCCTCCATTCTACCAATCATTGCAGGTGTGGCCTTGACATCCCAGGTCTCTATCATGTGCCACTTGAGTATGGAACGGTCATAGATCTGGCCTTCAAAATGTGCCCAGACTGTACCCCAAAGCACCTTCCTCTGGAACCTGGCTTATATGTCCAAGGGCATGATGAGGGGATGTCTTCAACCACACAGCCCTGACTCCCATAGGAGAGGCCATCTTTCAGCACTGAGCCTTGAGTTCATCCTGGGCCATGCTATAAGGAAGGCAGAGGCACAGTTACCACAAACAGGGTCCTGCCCAGGGACTGTTCCCTTGGCAGCAACAGGTAGCTGGGCAAGGTCTTTACTGAACTGGCATAGGCCACAGCCATTTGTACTCACAATGGCCAAGCTTCAGAAGCAGCCAGGGTGAGTTTTTGAGGAATGAGGCATAAATACGGAGACGAAAGGAAGTGAGCTCTGGCTCCAGATCAGATGGTGGTGGCACACTGCACCTGGTCCCTCCTACCAAAAACCTTCTCGGAACCTGGCAGAATGTAGACAGTAGCTTGGCGAGGGCTGTGACGTCATCAGAAGACAGCCGACGGGGGGAGGGTGGGGGTGGGGGTGGGGGGTGGACGACGACGACGACGACGACGACGACGACGACGACGACGACGACGACGACACACCATCAGCAAGATGATGAGCAGTTACAGCTTTTCTTTCATCTCAGGTGAGACTCGCTATAGTTCCTGCCCTGGGGAGAAAGGAGCCCCTTAACCGCCAGAACAGGAGGGGAATCACCAAGTCCCTGTCCTTCCACTGTCCCCCCCAAATGCTGTACTGGTGCTGGGGTGGGGTGGTCCAAGGAAGCTGTGTCCATTTCTGGTGGCAACAGGTGGGAGGGTAGGTAAAAGCTCTTGCTTTTTCCTTCCCTTTGTCTTTCTGCTGCTTGGGCTGGATCTGAGCTCAGGCACCAGGAGTTTCCAGCAGAACTTGAACAAAGCCCCAACTCTGTTTCAAGGGCACTGAAAAGGGATCCCTGAGAACTGGAAAGCACCCGTGAGACTGTGGAAGAGAAGTTTTTTAAAATTCAATTTTATTTACTTATCTGGCATGTGCCATGGCTCTTCATATTCAGGATGATCAGGCTATAATCCAGAGTTACTAAGCTCATGCTCATGGTCAGAAACATAGCTGATGCTTAGGGAAAGATAAGCCACATGAGGTTGATGTAGAAGCTGGAGTTACTCGACAAAATCTGAAAGATCGTGTCACAGAGATGCTGCAGGAAGGGGAAATGCTCTTGAAACAAATGGGAGACACAAGGTCTCAGCAAAGAAACAGAAGCTCACAAGAATGGCCAAGAAGAAAGTGTAGCCCAAACAGTCAATAACCTGACTTACAAACTGCTCTTCATGGGACCTGTACGATAGTAGTGTATGTGAGGGAAAGGTCAAGGATCTGCAAACAAGCCAAGAGCATCCCTACCCAAGCTCCCAGAAATTCTACCTGGAGCAAACAAAACTCCCCAAGAAGAACTGTGAGGACTCATGGGACACGGTTAATGATCTAATATTCTTGCTAGATTACCAGTAGCAGTAGAGAAAGTGTGGAATGGAAACAAAATCTAAAGAACAGCTTCCAAGGAGCAGAGTAAACTGTAAACAGGACCTATGTGCCGGGAAGCTCAGCTCAAGTCTATCCCACCCAGGCTGCTGGATGCTAAAAACAGAGAACCGGAGGAGAAAGCTCATTCTGCAAGGGGCAGCCATTTGAATGGCCATGGGCTTCTAGCAGAGACACTGGGCAGGAGCATCGTTTTCAGCACTGCCAACTCAGAATTCTGAGTTTAAAACGTCCCCAGGAATGAAGCTAACACAGGAAGGTTTCAGGTACAAGAGGAGAGCTGAGATAACCCACTGCCAAGAGTCCCCATCTTCAGAGAAAGGAGGAGACACCAGAGGGAACCTGGGGCCATCACAAGGCCAGCAGCATGGCCAGATGTGGTAAACAAGTGGGTGATTCCAGCTACTGAGAAGGCTGAAAGACCCTGGGCTATCCAGTAGGATCATGTCTCAGAAAAGTAAGAAAGGGCTGGAGGTGTAGCTTGGATAAAGCACTTTCCTAGCATTCAGGAGAACCAGAGTTCCTTGCCCCACACCATCAATTAATCAGCAATGTGCAGGGTAGGAGAGGTAGGGAGCACAGGACTAGCCGACTACTGATTCTTAAGGAGGTTTTTGTTAGTTTGTTTGTTTGTTGTTTGTTGTTTTTTTTGCAATGCATTTGAAAGATGCAAGTACCAATGGTCACAGAGTGAGCTTTCGACATACCCAGGCATAAGACACAAGATGGATTAGGACACTGGGGGAGAAGGACCTACACCTGTGGTGAGAGGTGACCAGGGCAGTGTGCTTTGTCCATCTGATCTGGAGCCAAACCCTGCTTCTCTTCATTCCTCAGCTATGAGGGTCTCTGTGGGGGAGCCTCATGTTTCTACACCCCACTCAAGATGGCCAAAGGTTGATTTTTTTTAAATTGACTGGAAATAAGTGTTGCAATCTCTGTAGCAGTCAGGAGAAACATCTACTAAAAGGAGCAATAGTAAGAAAGCAAACAAACAAAATGGAAACCTTTAGTGTTGATAAAACAGCCCTATGAGGGGGGATAGAATGGACCCAAATCCAAGCCTCTCAGTAACTGCATCCAGTAGAAATGACGTAAGCACACCAATAAGAAGGCTGGTATGGCTCGGGAGCTAGCTCAGGGGTTAAGAACACTTGCTGCCCTTTCAGAGGACTAGAATTTGGTTCCCAGCACCCAGGTCAGATGACTCACAACAATCTGTAACTCTGGCTCCATGGAATACGGACCCTCTTCTGGCCACTGTGGGTACCTGCACATATGTGCAATAAACATAAATAAAAATAAATCTTAAAGGAATGACAGACACTCTTGGCATGAATAAAAGCAGGACTACCCACTGTCTTAACAAAAACTTACTTCAAACGAGAGCCACAGGAAGGATAAAAGAAAACAAATGGCAGGACAGTTAATATGGAATTAAGAAGCCTTAGAAGCAAAGGATATTTCCAGGGGGAAGTTTAAAAAAGCATCGTGCCCACTCCAAGGGTCTATGAGCCTAATAGTAAAGTTCCAAGATGCATGAACCCCAAACTGGCAAAATTGAGAGGAGAACTAGAAAAACTCGTAACTACCTTTGAGTACTCAAACACTCTTTCAGTCAACCGTAAAGCCGGATGTCAGAAAATCAGCAAGAACAAACATCTCAGAAACAGATCCATAATCTTAGTTACTTGTCTACTGTTTTGGTGAAACACCACGAACAAAAGCAACTTGGGGAAGCGGGGGGGGGGCAGTTTATTTGGCTTACACTTCCCTATCACTGTCCATTATTGAAGCAAGTCAGGACAGGGACTCATACAGAGCAGAAGCCTGGAGCAAGGAGCTGATGTAGAGGCCATGGTGGAGTACTGCTTACTGGCTTGCTCACAGTCTGCTTTCTTACAGAACCCAGAACCAATAGTCCAGGGGTGGCCTAACCCACAATGGGCTGTGCCCTCCCATAATAATCACTAATTAAGAAAATGCCCTGTAGATTTGCCTACAGCCTGATCTTATGGAGGAATTTCCTTAATTGAGGCTCTTCTCTCTCCAATGACTCCAGCTTGTATGAAGTTAACATAAAACTAGCCAGCATACCTACCAACAGAACAACAGACATTTTTGAGGCTACTGTTGGTAGCACCAGAACACATATCCTTTCCAAATGCCCATGAAACCACTGATCCAAAGAGAGGGTTTGCTATATCCTGCATCATATAACAAGCTGTAATACATGTAGAATAAATAAAACCAGACAAATTGCCTCTCTGACCATTACACTTTTAGACTAGAAATTGAATCAAAAGGTAGCAGGAAAGTCTCTAAACATCCAGACAGTAAAAAACCCACTTCTACAACAGGCAAAAACAGTGAGAAAAATATAAAAATACATTGGATAGGATGAAAATGATATAAAAAACAGTGATGTTCATAGGATGCAGCTAAAGCAACACCCAGAGGTCAACTCACAGTATTCAACACTTGTGTTAGAAAAGTCACATGTTAACAATTTCAGCTCCTACCTTAAGAGACATGAATGAAAACAACCCAAACAGCCTGAAAGGGGAATAAAGGTAGAAGCTGGACTCAATGGAATTGGAAAAAGGAAGATTGGGAAAATCCAAGAAAATGGTTGCTTGAAATAACTGATAAAACTGAGAAATGTCTACCAAGGTGGATGGAGGCCAGAGAAAGAACAAGGTAGACCTCAGGGGATGACAAGGCGGTTCTGGAAATGACTTCAGATAAAGACACTCAGCCTCAGCGGATGGTGACAATTTAGTAAAACCCACAAACTACAGAAGTTTTGTATATGTCATTCTATCCCATTGTAGGATATTATACATTTTTCATATCACATATAAAAATTAATAATAATCAATCTTCACTCTAGCTTAAATGTGTAGGTTTAGCCTTAAAGATATTATAGTTTCTTTTAAAAAGTCCACTTCCCAGGAGATTGTTGTGTCCCTATTTATACTCTTTGATTAATTGAAATTTATTCCTTTGGAGTTTTTTTTACATTTTAAGATAAATGTGTTTCAGAATGATTTAAAAATTTTTTTTTTAAATATTTGAGTCTTTTCCCCTAAATAGAATAAAACAAAATCAGTACCACCATCACCCAACCCCTACTGTGCAGAACACCCACCTCTGTGGTACCCATCTTGCTTTGCCTTGTTGACCATGCATATCATGGTCCCATCACAACAGCCACTTTCTAGTTGGTGTTGTATGACACATGACTCCTGAAGTCTACCCTCATTCTAGGTGCTGTGGTCAGAGCTGAGAATACAAAAGCACTTGGGGAAAGTCCTGCTCAGACACATAGCACATGTTAAACAATCACATACATAACCTGAGATGGGTAGACACACAGAACACAGATCCCATGGGAGAAGAATAAACCCCAAGAAGTATATTCACCCAACTGAGGGCCCTGAGGTACCTCAAAAAGTGATCAAGAGATATTAAGACCAAACTGGGCCTGTTGGTCTGTAATCCCAGTGACTCATGAAGGCCAGGGAGGGACGATCCAAAGTTGAAGACCTACCTGAACTACAGAGGGAGTACAGGACCTGCCTGGGCAACCAGGTGAGACCCCATATTCAAGCCAAAGTGAAAAGAGAGGTGGGTCCTATAGTAGTTGAGTGCTTACTTAACTTAGGTTCAATCCCCAGTACTGGGCTCCCAATGCCCCCCCCCCCAAAACAAAACAAAGTGAACACACACACACCGAAGTGGAACTACAAACCAGAATACCAGAATAACCCTACAATTAAGGAGGTAGTGATTGTAATTTTAAACCTTCTGAAGATGGAATCTGTAGGGCCAAACTGAGTCCAATTTGGATTCCTACCCTATGATGAAAGAAGAAACATCAGCACCAGCTCTCCAAGAAAACAGGTATGAAATGAGAGCATCATGGCCTCAAGAGCAGAGCCAGAAAAAGACATCAACCAGAAATAGTATCGATCCCTGATTCTCGGAGGTGGTGGGGTTAATACAGATATCTGGTTTAAGACTGAACACTCAAGGCTCAGGGAACATCTCAGAAAAGGAGGAAAGGATTTAAGAGCTGGAGGATGGGGGAGAGTGCTGTGG